GTGACACTCTTAATTTTCTCTATGATTTATGACCTCTCCAGCCATGTGTATTTCGCTATGTTTACAGTACAACACATGAATTCACTTTCATTGAGTGGAATTTAAGTCCAATTAGTTGTTGTTAATTACTCCCAAGATAAAATTACCCCTAATGCTCCAATGTAGTTTTGTGTTCTGGTCATTGTTGTGGTTATTAGGCCTTAAAGGTGGGGTGGTACCATTGAGTGATTTTTTTTCCCCTCAGCAGCTTGCATAGTATCCTTCAAAACTATGGGAGCTAGTCTTCAGGGAGGTGCCTTCCAGGTCAGTTCCAGCTCTACTGCTTCAAGTCCTGTGTCTGAAGTATGCCCTCTCTTCAGCAGTAGGATCTTACTTTTAAGTTCTGTGAGGTAATCAAGGCCTATGACAATAGCCTGTGTAATTTGGGGAGTCTTTTTGACGGTGTGGCACTATTTCTTGCTATATAGCCTTCGGCTATACATTGGGACACATGTAGAGATATGTCTATGTAACTTTTCAGTAAGATTTTGAACTAGTATTTCTCCCTCTGGTTTTTCACACTAGCTTAGTATTATTTATCTCCTCTCTCTCTCTCTCTCTCTCTCTCTCACTCTCTCTCGGCCTCTTTCCATGTTTGTACCTCCCTCCCCAGTTAGAGTACCCGTATTTCCCTTGTTTCCCCACTGACAATAACTATCTCCTTGTGGACCCTCCTCTCTTTAACTCTTTTTTTCCCCTTACCCCCATGGTTCCTTGCATAACTATCCTTCTTTCCCTCCAATTTAAATACCCCATATTATCAATTTCTCTCTTAGTAACACCTGTTTCCTACTATTCTTCTTTCTCAGACTCATTATTTCCTTATACTTCCCTGGTTCCTTTCCATTTTCCTGACTACTGCAGTTATATCCAAATATATACTCACAGGTAATAATTTGGTGCTAAGATACACAAATGGGGGAGAACATATGTCTTTTGGTTTTTAATATTTTTTATTGAACTTTTAAAATTTCATACATTTCCCACT